TCTGTGACACGTCAGGGGCTGGGGTGCCTGCTGCTTGATCCTCTTTATGGAGGTGGATTCGGCCGTTTGGGGACAAGTGTTGGTTGGGAGAAATGAAATGCTATTTTGGGCAAGTCGTTTAACCTCTCTGAAGTTACGTGTGTTTCGCTTTTCCTGAAAAGATGCCTCATGACTTTGTTGGGATGATAAGAGGAGACAGCTGAGTGCAAGCTTCCCGGCCCCGTGCTGGCCGCGGCGCGGGCTTCCACGGAGTTGCCAGTGTCCTTCTCGAGGGCCGCCTGGCTTTTCGGATGACGCGTGTTACCCCGAGACGCGAGCCGCCCTGGCCACCTGCAAGGCCCACTACTGGAGAGCGAGCCCTTCCTGAGCTGACGTGTGCCCTCTCCTGTTTCAGAGGTCTCCTGGAGGAAGGAAAGGCCACCGTGCCTCGTCTGGCAGAAAGGCTCACCGCCGAGCTCACCGCGCACATCAGGGTGAGTCAGAGGGTCGGGCTGCAGGCTACAAAAGTAACAGCCCGTCCAAGTCACGTTCGTGGGCAGCAGTTGGCCAAGACACCCATCAAACTGCCCAAATCAGCAAGCAAGCAAGCATGTCTGAAACGCAAGTCATTCAAGGCACAGGCTCACAAGAGAGCGCCTGTAACGGGGAAGCAACGCCTGCATGATGTTGGAAGAAAGAGTGAATCCGTCCGTTCGGGGGCAGTGAGGGAAGAAGGAGGACTCAGCGCCCGGGGCCGCCAGGGCCGTCCAGCAGCGGGGAGAGCGGCCGAGAGGGGAACGGACGCGCGGCAGCTTGGCAGGAGCTTGTTAACGCGTCACGGCACAAAAATCATCTTCCCAGCTTCCAGCTCGTAGGAGAGAAATGTTCAGTGTTCACCGGTTCTCAAGCACAGACGACCCCAGGCAAAGCTCTCCTGGCGTCGCTGACGCCCGGGCGACCGTGGCCCGGTGTTCTCGGAGCAGCAGAGCCCGTGTCGTGCTGCCCGGACCCGTGTGCCCGAGGTCGAGCAACGCGGGAAGAGTGAACATTAACCCTTAGGGCAGAGACGATCCCGGGGGCTGGATTCCAGTCTGTGCTGAGCTGGCTGTCACACAAAGGCAATGGATTCTTTTGAACCGGAAAACACAGATTCACAGGATATTTGCTTGGAAGTGGCCAGTGGATCTCAAACTGTGTGTGCACAGAAGTTACCCAGAGTGTTTCTTTCAGCTCAGATTCCCAGGGCCTGGGTCCGAATTTCCGAGTCACCAGGCGTTGGGTGGGATCCACGAGTCTCCCCCTCACGTTCCAGGTGACCTGGGGAACACACTTTGAGGAACACTGATTCCAGGGAAATCCCCTTAATCTGAAGCACAGGATTCTGAGAAATGCATGCCTGCCTCAGAGGTATATCCCTTGTCTAGTGGAGATAAACACCTTTTTTTTTAGAAGGTATTGCATTTTGATAATAGTTTCATAACCTACATTTAAATATTTCACATTAACATTTAAACATTTAAATACTTCACGTTAAACATTAAAATTTAAATATTTAACATTTAAATACTTCATTGAAATTCGAATTTAAGTTTTTTACTATTTTAAATTCGTTAAACATTGTGTATCAAGACTCAGTTATGATCATTGGAAATATCAGAAAAAGAATGAATACATTTCTGCCTATGGCTGCGAGCTGCCAGAGAGAGAGAGAAACACACACACCATATCGACCTCTTGGGAAGCTAATCCACAAACTGCCTGTAAATCCCCATGAGCTCATCCTGCCCGGTGTCTGCACCAGCATCATGCACTCAGGTGCCTTTACCTACCCTGTTCCCGGGCACGGGCCGAGGATCGGGTGGTCAGGGTGCCCAGTGGAACTCTGCACCTTAGTAGCTCAGTGATATATCGAGCAGTCCGCCTCTCTGAGCCACAGGCTCCTCTCTTGTGAAAAAGAATCAATAAAGACGTGTGCTTTGTGTTGCCTGTGGGGCTCACCTGAGATGTGAGGTCTTGGACCGATGCTTGGCCCAAAGACCCCCCTCCCGGGTGTCCGCTCCATCCTTCCCAGTCCCTGACTTTGTCATCTTCATCAGTTACACTGACTGGTTGGCACGGTGCCCAGCCTGACACCAACACGAAAACACATCCTTCCACCAAAGCACCATTTATCAGTTTACAACACTCAAACTACCACCAACAGAGCATTTCATTAAATAAGTCTCCCATTATTTTCAAGTGTATTTGTTCTCTCGATGCAAAGCTCCAAGCCAAACAAAACAAAACAAGAAGCGGCCCCTCCTCCCCTGACGGCCCCCCTCCCAGATCACCCCGCAAAACCTCGCAGAACACCGGATCTTTCCAACTGCAGTGCATGGCATTGCCTTCAAAGCCCAACTTGGGCTCCTTAGCAGGTATCCAACTAAACAAGCTTCCCACAGGGTAATAGGAATTCCGGGTCCCCTGGAAACTTTCAGATGGGATTCCGCCCATATACCTGAGAAAGCTGTCGTCTGATTTCATCAAGCTGCAGAGTTTCAGTGTTTCTCTTACTTTGTTCAGAAATCCCTCCCACTGTTGGAAAATCAAATAAAGGAGAACCAGCAGAGGGCGATAGAGGAGCTGCGCCAGTGTGGAGCCAACGTCCCCAGCCATGATGCTGATAAAATGTTCTTTCTGATTGAGGTGAGGATGCCAGGGACTGCGTCTGACACTGGGCACAGAAAGTGGCTTCTGCGTCACCCGGTCTCTCTAGGTGGCCGAATCCTTCCTGGTGGCCCCGCACGTCTCTAGGTGGCCCTCCACGTGAGCGTCCCCGCAGGTGACATGTGGGAGCTCCGCCCTGTCCCCTCTGTGTCTCAACAGGGGATGAGGTGGCTGGGGGGTCCCCTGATCTCCTTGCAGACCCCAGCCCCCCACCACACGCTGCTGTCCCGGTTCCTGCTCTTAATATGACCACAGGACTGATGGATGATTTTATCTCATTTTTCAGAAAATTAAGGCATTTAATCAGGACATTGAAAAGTTAATAGAAGGAGAAGAAGTCGTAAAGGAGAAAGAGGCCCGCTTATATAACAAAATCAGAGAGGAGTTTAAAAACTGGGTCCTCATACTTGCAGCCAACACCGAAAAAGGTAAGTCCTGGGGCAGTGCTCCCCTAAGAGCAGGGTCATATTCCCCGAGACCAGACAGCCATCGGGGGAGCACTGTCCTCGCCAGCTCAGCAGGAGCCACCCCCACACCTGCCGTGTCCTTCTTGCCTCCCTGCTTTTCAAGGCTGGACAGTATCACTTACCCCGTCTCTCCCCTTCTCTTCAGCCCTAACGCAGGACCAAAGAGGGTGATGGTTTGCCTGACAAAGTTCTAGCTTCCATTCTGCTGCAGCCCAGGTCCCAGGAGGATACGTGCCCGTGTGTGCGTGTGCGTGTGTGTCTGTGTGTGTGTATCTTTGTTTTAACGCTTAATAAAAACAGCCCTCTCCATCCATGGGAGGATTCCTCCGGCTGTGTCTGGATGTGTTCTTGGGAGAGCTGCAAGTGCACAAGAATTTCTGAGGTTCTGTTTTCACTGAATCAGATTTTTTCCCTTCTAATTATAACCATTCAACTTCTCTCTCAGGATGACGACCCTCAATT